TTTAATCAATAGGCTTCGGCGCGCAAGAGCACGTAGTGAGAATCATATGTCTAATCGGGTGAATTCTTATCGAATTATCAAAAAATTTCTCACAAAATTATCTTCATCGAAGCCGATGCTTTACATCCGGCGTTCAGTACTATTTCATATTGTTTTACAACACATAGTTTTAGCTCTCTGGTGGGAAAGGCTTTAAAACAAAACTTACAACAGTCACTTTTCTCAACAACTGAAATTTAGAATAGTGTGATTAAGAAAAATATGTGAACTGTTTGCAATTCCAGATTAATATTGAAATACACAGGTTTAGAATTTTCTACAGTGAAAAGTTTTCGGAACTTCAGTGTTCAAAAAAGTATACAAAAGCTAGACGTTAAGAACGTATCCAATGAGCGAGCAAAGCGAGCATCGTGTTGCAAAGCAATCCGAAATGAACTGCGAAAGCAGTTGAGAGGGTTGGCGAGCGCCAGCGAGCAGGGGGCGAAGCCTCCTAGTTATTAATACTTTTTGTTTCGTTTTAAGTTTAATAATTATCTTATATCGAGTGCCATTTGGGAAAATGATATATCACTTTGTGCTAAGTGTTAAGAATAATTCTATAAAATTTGTCCAGAATTACTAAATGTATTAAGAGCTGATAAATATATGTATAAATAAAATATATTTACCGTTACTTTGTTGATTTAGAACACCATTTTCAAGTGTACACAAGTTTGTTTGTTTATTTTTTTTTAAATCTTTTGAAAGTAAGAAGTTTTTAGCTTTATTTTTTTCGGAAAAATACGAATTTCTATGGTTTGTTTATTTTTTTTCAAAGTACTGCAAAGCACATCCGAATTGATCTTGTTTGTTCATAGCTATGTAAAAAAAACATTTCTTTTGAATGAGTACTATGCTAAGAAATTTTTTTCAATTTAGTAAATGTTTTCGGATTCATTCTTTAATTCGTTTCCTATTATAACTGGATTTTAAAAATTCAATAGTGTGTTGTCCTAACCGAAATCAATTTTAGAAGAATATTTTTTTTCTAAAACAAATAGCTTAAACTTAGTTTTTTTACAGCACCTATTTACACCTGTGTCCTCAACTTAGCTTCCCAACAGACCATTCATTCTTATTTCATAAAATTTTAAACATAGGTCTGTTTCCAAAATAAGTATGCTATTTAATTGCTTATAAGACATCAAGAATTGAAAAACAAGAATATTAAATTTATCATTTCATTAGAACAAATATTTATTTTTTATTACTTCCAAACAATTTAAAAAAAACTAAATACTGAAGAAAGTTGTAAATATGAAAATAGAAATATTTTTCATGGATGCTCGAAGTACCCACAATTCGAATTTAATTTATGTATATCTAAGTCAAGCAATTTTGTAATTCCTACTTAACTCTTAATTTTTATTATTAAATTTTTTATTCATATCTCAAGTAAGAATATAGTTCATATACTCCCGAACCATACAGCTCATTTTTTAAAATTCGAAAATGTACCGCCATGAAAGCGGTCAGTTAGCTGAGAGTACCAAACTTTTGCGGACTTTCTGACACAGGGTTAAGACATGTGAAAATTTTAACAGCAATAATTAAGTCTAAGGGCAGAGGACGCAGGTGAGTGTGCAAAGCACCGATCCTATTGCCAGCAGACAATCAGGGCAAAACCAGCAAAGCGCCAACCATTCTAAGAACTCACGGACGCGGTCTCGAAGCTGAAAGGCTTTCGAACCGACAATGTTTATTTAACATTTATCTCAAAATTCTTTGAAGTTCTCCTAGAAAAAAAAAACAATATCGAAACAGTTAAAAAATTTGAACAGAAAAAAACAACAATAATCTCAAACATCTAAAAAGTAAAAAAAAAGCGATGATAAAAAATTATTCAAAACAATCACAGATAAGATCGATGGGCTGACTCCAGGATCATTTCAGATCCATAGTTGATTCTTTGGATGACAGAAATGGCTCGATGAATCTCAGAGAATCTTGGTGGATGGCTGATGAAACTTGATAAATGACGAATGGTTGATTTCCAAATTGTTGATTCCTTTCATTGCAGTTCATATAGTTTGGTTTGAACTTGCACTCTCCATGCGAGTGCCAAAAAAGCAACAATAATCTTAAACATCTGAAAAGTAAAAAAAAAAAAGCGATGATAAAAAAAATTATTCAAAACAATCACAGATAAGATGGATGGGCTGACTCCAGGATCATTTCAGATCCATAGTTGATTCTTTGGATTACAGAAATGGCTCGATGAATCTCAGAGAATCTTGGTGGATGGCTGATGAAACTTGGTAAATGACGAATGGTTGATTTCCAAATTGTTGATTCCCTTCATTGCAGTTCATATAGTTTGGTTCGAACTTGCACTCTCGATGCGAGTGCCAAAAAAGCAACAATAATCTTAAACATCTAAAAAGTAAAAAAAAAAAGCGATGATAAAAAAATTATTCAAAACAATCACAGATAAGATCTATGGGCTGACTCCAGGATCATTTCAGATCCATAGTTGGTTCTTCGGATGACAGAAATGGCTCGATGAATCTCAGAAAATCTTGGCGGATGGCTGATGAATCTTGGTAAATAGTTGACTTCCAAATTGCTGATTCCCTTCATTGCAATTCATATAGTTTGCTTTGGACTTGCACTCTCGATGCGAGTGCCTCGTTTCTCCTCAGTTAAATCTGGTCAGTTTGTTTTGGCACAGCCACAAGCAGCAACACTTATATTTTTACAATAATAAAAGTACCACAAAGCTATAAATATTTTTTCGCAATCAAAAGATCCTCCATCTGAGCTTAATTCTTTTGTTTTAAATTATGACATCAAAATATTTTAGATTCCCGGTTAGCACCCAGTGTGTATTTTTGCTTCACCCTTATTTAAAAAATTAGACTGCCAATTCCACATTTTTCTAGCTTCTTGTTTCGAGTCTTAATTTCTTCAGATTCTCCTTTATAAAACTAAAATTTATTTCCTGCAGAGTTAATAATAGATTTTTTCTTATGGGCGTTTTGCAGGTGAATTTCTCTGGTAGACCTCTAGTAAAGAGCTTTGGTTTATTTTTTCTGGTATTCCTTTTTCTAGTCTTCAATTGAAATTCTGCCTCTTTCAACTATTTTAAGTCTCAACACCTTTGCTAAGGAACGCGGTGTAAGTTCTCTAAGTCACATTCGCTTGAGTTACGACAGGGGTCCCTTCCGGTTTTGTATGAATCGAGATTATTTGCTCAGTTAGAAGTCACAATTTCTCTTCTTTTAATTACATCAGATATTAGTTTTCACTGTGTTTTGGTTAACTCTTTATTGAATTTTCCAAATTCTTCTTCTCGAACTCCTGAAATCATAGATTCTTTAACCTGAGCTATGATACATCGAACCAACTCTCTTGTTAGGTTAACTACAAGACTCTGCCTGATTTAACTTTTTTATTGCTCATTTTAGCAGGGCTTGAAATGCTTTCCTGGTTAAACAATGCAATTTCCATCCATTTCCCCTCCAACTTCCATCTTTGGCTCTTATACTCTCGAATCTTTAATACAAAATTTACTCTAAATTTAAAATTAAAAAGACGACTCTGTTAAAATTGTTAAAATGAATCTTTAATTCTCTGTTCGATCTATTTACGTTGACCGCTACAGGGTCGTTAACAATCGCCCTACGGTGAGTACAGCAATGAGCTTGGATCATATCCTAATAGAGCTTTCTGAGTGTTAATAATACGCAATGGTCTTTGTAATAATACGTGATACCGTTATAAATACTTAAAGTTATTAACAATACGCAATTTATTAAGTTTTTTTAAAAAAAAGACTACATTAATTTTATAAAGTAATTATAAAATTAATGTTACAATGATACATAGTTATTTATAATTTTTTGATTTCAAAAGTTTTTGTATTTAAAATTTCAATAATTTCGTACAATAAAAAAATTTAAGAAAACGCACAGTGAACATTCATTGGTCTAGTTTAAGCTGAATTAACTTTAAGAAAAGAATAATAAAAAAGTATACTTTCTAAACTTGAAAGTAAAGATAAAAGTTCAATTTAAAAAAAAAAAAAATTGAAATGATATTTTTCAAATTTTTTAAATATTTGAAAATCACCCATTTTCCCCTTCTTTTCCTTTAAATCATGAAAAACTACTACAAAATAATAAAATAATTAAATTATATAAAATAATTTAAAATCATTAATTTTCTAAATAACTATTATTTTTCATAGAGTCATTACTTTTTCTAGACATGAAAATATTTTTGATATACATTTTTCGTAAATATTAACAGTGACATTAAAAAAGAACTACAGACGACAAGTTTAGAACATTCCTAAAATTGCTTTTGTTTCTAAATGTATCTTCATATAATTTCTATTTAAATCATTTTTTAATTTTTATCTTATTCAGCTATTTTTCAAAGACATTGCAACATTATTTCTTAACTAAATTATGCATTTCAGGAAAAATAAAAATGCATTACTAAAATTTTAGTAATGTTTTTTTTAGTTTGAATTTTCAAAAAAAATCATTGAGTTATCCAAAAATTCGTACCAAATAAGTTCTTAAGTTTCCCTTTAATCAAAATAATGAATTCAAGAGAAACAATATTTTAAATTATATTTTGTTGCAAAAAAGTGTAAATTGAAATACAAATAAACTACTCTAATTGTAAATATTGTTCAAATTTCTTTTTAAAAACATATTTATTTGATTAAAATTTGAATTGCGAATCAGTTTTAAATTAATTTTAAAAGTTAATTAAAGTCATAAAATAATTTTTGTAACTAATAAACAAATTTTTTTCTATATCTACATTAAATGTAACAAAAAGCATATTTTGTATTAAATAAATTGAATTAAATTCTTAAAAACTTTTAATTATTAATTTTCATCGTAAGATTTTTTTCATTCCTTAGTGAATTCTTAAGACAGAGATTCTTAATACAAATGCAAATAAAGGAGGAAATTTTAATTTTCTTATTCGAACATTCTAGAGAGAATTTTGTCAACAAAACCAAAATTTACCAAGACCATTTTTCTCAAGATGTTAGAAAAGCTCATCTTAATGAAAACTCATTGAATTTGCTGTTAGAAAAAACGAAAAAATTCGAAGATTTTGGAAAACTACAAAACAAAGAAAGAGTAGATAGCAGGTAAGAATGTTGTTTAATTTGAGTTTTTTTTTTAAATTTTAAGTTTACAATTATTCATTTTTATACAAATCTGTATGCTTTTTTTTAGTGAACCGGTTTGCTCATATAAGATCATTTAGTTCTAAGGGTAAATATTCTCCCCCCCCCAAAAAAAAAAATTCCTTGTGCATTGCATATCTCTCTTCTTCTTAAAAGAAAAACTGCAACCTTCTTTAATTTTTTCCTTTCTCTTATCAATTTTAAAAGTCAAACTATGCCACATTGCGAAAAGAATTCTGGAAAATTCCTGAAAATAATGAGAAGTCTAATTCATACTGGTAACATGTCTGAAAAAGAAAACTGGTAACTTCTTAAGAATGCAGAAATTTTCCCACTTAAACTCAGTAACCGCAGTACTATTATATGGCGCGCAGAAACCTGGAAACAGACTAAGATCGAAACACAAAAATTAGAAACCTTTCAAAACAAATGTTTAAGATTTATTTTTAAGATTTTCTGGCCTTACAAAGTATCAAGTCAAAATCTATTAAAGAAAGCTAAAATAAAAACAATAGAAGATGAAATAAAAAACGAGGATGAGCTGGCTCGGACATATCCTTAGAATGTCCAAAGAAAAAATTACATCTGTTGCGCTTACATGGGCCCTGATGGTAAAAGAACAAGAGGAAGACCTAGACTTACCATCCAGCGCATGTTTTTGGGCGAATTAAAAGAATGTAGAATATTTGGCTGGGAGGAAGCAAGATCCATTGCTAGAGATAGGAGGCGTTGGAGGGATATGCTAGAGGCCTTAAGTCCCCAAAGGCACGTAGAGGATAAGTAAGTAAGCTCAGTAACCATCATCGGGTAAACTGGTAACTTTCCAGAAGAATTTCGCAATCTTCTTTATAAAAGACGCTAATGTTTCTGGGAAAAATTCAAAACTTTAAATTGAGGCTACAGATTGCTTTTTCAAGTTAATCTAACCATAGGATATGGTATATCGAGTGTTGCCCTCTAGCGTGAGAGATGGATAGTATTAAAGAATTTAAACTATAGAATTTAGAACAAACTCTATAGAATTTATAAAACTGTATAATAATTATATATAATCTGTATTACAGTATAATATAAACCGTTTCTTACTTTTCTACTTAACCACTCTGTAAAAAAGAATGTGACTAAATAAGTTGATCTTGTGGTGTCCTCTTGCGTAAGAAATGGATAGTATTAGAATTTGTCATGTAGTGAATCTGATGGTGCTGCCATCTATATACGTTTGAAAAAGTTACATGTAACCGTATCCCTAGTAACATGTAACTTTAATATGACTACTTAACATGACTAATGTTCAAAACTCGGTAACCTTAATCCAGCTCTCCCGGTATTTCCCACTGCAACAGTGAGTCGCGTCATTTATTTGGTCGGGTTGTGCTGGGAGGAAAGGAAAGGAATGAGACTGTGGGGCTAGTGTTGTTACAGACCATGTCAACCGTCATCTATGAAAAGGTACCCCGACATAGAGTCGAGTTAACATGTCTTATATACTAGTGAATTGCAGTTGTAATTTTGTAGTGGTAGATACGCTACAGTACTCCCCCACCAGAATTATAGCTGTGATAGGATTCGATATATGGATACCACTAGTTGCTGTGCTTGTGACAGACCGGGAGAGCTGGATTAAGGTTACCGAGTTTTGAACATTAGTCATGAGAGCTGTATTATGATCATGGTCGTAGTCGCTCCTGTGCTGCCCTTAGCAGTCGGGCGTATGCAGGTTGACGTTGTGTGTAATCGAGACGAGACTGAATAGCAGCAGTGTGAGGAGGTGGATAGTGTCGCAGTCACAAGTAGCAAGTCAACTGTTACACGTGGACCATCCATCGAAGTAGGCGTTTCCGGATCGAAATGGGCGTTACTGTCAAGGTAGGCGTGTTCACATCACGTCCGAGTCGCCAATGTGGGGCTAGTGTTGTTACAGACCATGTCAACCGTCATCTATGAAAAGGTACCCCGACATAGAGTCGAGTTAACATGTCTTATATACTAGTGAATTGCAGTTGTAATTTTGTAGTGGTAGATACGCTACAAGACAATGAATTTGCAGAATTTTCTTAGCGTGTAGCTTCCGTCATACTAATAATCCAATTCTTAGATGCAAATTTATTGTTAATGGTTAATTTTCAATTTGAGGACTCTACATTAAAAGTAAAAATTAAATGAAAAATGAAAAAATAAATCGTTTAACTTTAAATGCCGATGTATACCGAATCATCTATATATCTAAAACTTGTTCATAAATAATTATGACAGAGAATGTACACCTTTCACAAGAGCATTATAGGTTTACTTTTATGTATCTTAATTCAAATTTCCTTTATCTGTGGCTTTAATTAAACTTTTATTCCAAAAGATTAATTTGTGCTTATTTGCTCTTAAATTGGCACAATTTACAATTTAAAACTAATTTGAGAATTCAAAGTTGCGCTGAAAATATTTTTTTAATATCAATACATTTAAGCATTTTCCAGACAAATTTATACGATAATTGTATCTTTTTTGTTATTTTAGAAGAAAAAGTAATTTGAACGCAAAAATTAGATTATTATTATACGAATATATAATTATCCGACAATCAAAAGGGAATTTTCTCTTTAAAAATGCAATACTTATTTTCCGTACGAGTGTTGAAAACTGCAACTAATCAAAGAGAAAAAGTGAAAGCGGTGTTAAAAATGTGAAAAGGGAATTCAAGCGAAACAGTATTGTTGTCTACATACGCTATTTGTTCTTTTTTATTTTATTAAAATTTTATCTTGCCATATTATATTAGTGAATAATTATCCTTCATAATTTCTAATATAAAATAAATTTAGCTTTTATTAAAAATATCTGAGTATCCGCTCATGGAATGGGGATTAATTTTCATTTGTGCAGCTTGTGGTTTGGCAATACCATGCAATTAGATAGAAGACGATTTGTTGACTATTCTAGAGTATTTTCTTTAAGGATTTTCGTCGAGTAAATTATTTCGTCGAGTTAGCTGCAGCATATTTCTATTGTGAGCTAAGTTCAATGAAATCATAATGGATCATACCAGTGCTAGAGCACCAAGCACTCATCATCAGCAGTTTTAGGTGAATATTGTGCTTTAGAGTATGTTTGGTGGTGTATTCTTGCTCAACAAACACAGAAGAAAAATACTCTGTTAATGTTTTGTGTGGCCATAGTTCCATATAAGACCTCGCACTTCATAATAGTGCGAATTTTCAACCTTTCCAATTGCAATAAAATTAATTTTTAATAAAAAAAATGCTTTCAATATTTTTTAGAGCTAAGGCTTATTTTTTAAGCAGATGAGACCTTTACATTTCAACAAAAGAAAAAGAAAACAGTGAAATTTTAGGCTACTGTCAAATATCAAGCAGTAAAGTTGTCGTATCGAACCTTTAAATTTCATTCTTGACGTGGCCTACATCTATGATAATGAAAGAAGGAGCGTTTGTATTTGATTGTATGTATTTCTAATTAGTAAGATCGCTTATGCTAGGGTCCTAAATTTTATACAGCAAAAAGACAATTCCAGCTCCCAATCATAAAAAAATTGATTAAAAATTAACGGCTCTTAATGATAAAATAGGATTATCACTTCTATGTTTATTGCATGCTCTTTAAAAATTATTTATAATTAAATCTAATGCTAGGTAAGCAGAAGTAACATTGATGTTTTGGAAAGATGCTTGCGAATTAGTATTTAGAAAACTATCTGAAAATATATAATTATTTTGTTTACATAAGCACTTTTAAATTGATGAATATGCCATTCCACGGAGTTCTTGTTAATTTTAGGTCGTAGAAGCGGTATGAAAAAGTTTATAAATTTCTATGTTACCCAGGGCACTCCAGGGAGGTGGATTTATATCGTGTTTCAAACTTTTTGAATACGCAATGCATGAAATAAAATCCTAAATGTCTGGTTCTTAAATAAAATAGACTCCCTTGATGTTTTTTCCGTTCTCGTTATTGGAGATTATAAATAATAGGCATTATGACGAATGTTATAATTGAAGAGACAGCTTTTTTTTCATAAAAGAAGATATTTGTTTAAAACATCAAAATAGCTATTACCATATGCAACGAAACATCTATTCTAATTCTATCCACACATAGCATTCCATAAAAGGGCATCAAAAATAGGTACTGGAAATTATGGAGTGTTGTTAACATTCAAAACTTCTTAACTTTCTTCTCTCGTAACGTGTAATTCAGCTTTCTTAGCAACAACAATTCTTCTCGTAACAATTTTTTAAACTATTTTCCTATTGAACTCCAAGAAGTTCAAAGTTGCTTGCTTTTTCATTGATCGCGTTGTGCTGCTTTTGATTTATGCTTATACTATCCGGATTAATTTTAGGACTCTTACAACTCCTTCCCCTTAAAGGAACTATTCCTGAGTAAAACGAGAAAAAAGTTTTCTTCTCCTGAAAATTTCTTGCTTTCTTGGAAAAAGAGCACATTTTTTCCTTTCACTTTTTAAGCGTGTTAGAGATCTGATATGAACTATGTTTAATTCTGGGATTTGTATTGGTAATCTAGCCGCTGTTCTATTCTCCATGAGATATCGACTTTTATCTAACTCACTTCTAACCACAGTCACTTTGATTACAATGTCCCCAAACTGTCCAGACATCGAAACTTCTGCTAATGGCAAACAAGTTTTACACTCCTCTAATGGCTGTTGGAACTATACAGTATCGCCAGTACACTAGTCTGGAGTTAAATATTTTCGGCACATAACATCAGTAATTGCACATGAATCTCGAAGTACCAGCATTTTAATTCCCCCGTACGGGTGTACGGATTAAGTCCTTCCTTCCTTCCTCAATGGCACGACAGCCCCGGGTGGGCCCTGGCCTTCTCAATCAACTTCCTCCAGGCCTGCCTCTGCCTGGCAGTTGTCTTCCAGTTTGAGACTTTTAAGACTGAAATGTCTCTTTCCACGCAGTCGGCCCATCTCAGCT